CGTTGAAGTCCCCCAGCAGAACAACGGAGTCCCCAGTTGGAGCATTTTCCAGCACCCCTCCGAGGGACTCCAAGAAATCCGGGTGCTCTACACTGCCATTCGGCCTGTAGGCACAAACGACAGTGAGAGACCTATCTCCGGCCCGAAGGCACAGGGAAACAACCTTCTTGTTCACCGGGGTAAACTCCAACACATGGCAGCTAAGCTGGGCAGCTATGAGCAAGCCCACACCAGCCCACTGCCTCTGACCGCGGGCAACTCTAGAGTAGTAGAGAGTCCAGCCTCTTTCGAGGAGTAAGGTTCCAGAGCCCAAGCTGTGCATGGAGGTGAACCCAACTATATCGAGCCGGTACCTCTCAACCTTCTGCACAAGCTCGGGCTCCTTCCCTACAAGCGAGGTGTCCAAAGATCGGGTCGTCGGGGCCCATGCCTTCGACTGCTGCCCAATCCACTGTGCACCGGCCCCTTCGGATCCTCCTGCAGGTGGTGGGCCCACGGGAGGACCGAGAACACACTTCAGCTTGCAAAGATGAGCAAGCTGCTCATAGCAATCGAACGTGGAACTGAGCTCTACAAAGGCAAATCTCTTGATGAGATTGATTTGGGCATACAAAGTGGGTAGAAAATAGATTTCATAACAGAATGCAATTTATACTTAAAAATGCTGTTTGGTTTTTTTTGTTCTACTCACCACTTTAGTATGTGAAATAAGATAAGTTCACAAAATGTTTTTATCAAAACAGGTGGTTTGTCTTCTGAAGTTAGAGCTGTACAGAAGTCTCAAATCAGTGAAAGTGACACAGAAGTCTTCAATAAGAATTCTCTGGAACCAGCTCAAGGCTTGTGTGTTGAGTCAGCATGTCTCATTGTTCTGCACCAGAAGAACACGTCACCTCACTATTAACCACGAATCATCGTCTTATCAGATAATGCAATATTTCATTCCGCAGTGCTACTCATATGACCCAAAATGGCATGAAGCCGTCAGAGCTGTTACCTTGAATATCAGCTTTCTTTCCCATCTATAAATGACAGAAAGTAACTAAAAATGTCCATCCTGGTTACTTCTTCTTTTTAAGGGTCCTCCAAACGCAAGAGGTCAAAGATGGCATCTGAATTATCTCAAGTTTCAGACAGTGTGAACATTTTTTGGGTCATGTGAGGAGCACTGTGGAATGAAATATTGCATTATCTGATAAGACAATGATTCGTGGTTAATAGTGAGGTGACGTGTTCTTCTGCTGCAGAAGAATCACACAGGCTGACTCAACAGGCCTCAGCTACAGGACCATCACACAAGCTCAAAAGGACAGAGAAAACAGGTACTGCTCAGTTCTCAGACTTGAGTAGTGTTAATTACAGTAGATGTGGATTAACAACACATTACAAATTAGATCATCAGATAAATTTTTGATTTATCAATATTGAGAATGTCTATCACATTTGTCATTTCTATTTCAGCTGTGGACCTACAGTTACTCAGCAAAAACAAACACCCGCGCAGGTCGTGGAGTTCTGCAGAAAAGGAAGCGGTGTGGCGACAGCTGGGGCAGCGCATCAATATGCAAAGTGATTGTTTATCAAGCTTCTATCAATGGAGTGGGTGAATTAAAATAGGTAAATCAAGATTAGAGGACTTTGACAAACATTGCTTTCAGTGTTACTGGTGTTAAGCAAACTTAGCAAGTGACATGTAAGATTGAAAAAACCTAACGTTTAGATGTCTGCAAAAATACCCAGTTTTAAATGCAGAGATGCATACCATATACCATTTTTATAATACATTTTTTAACAGATGTAAATACAATCAAATTTAAATACACTTTACATTGGCAAAATTAAAAACCACATGCTTCCATCTCTGTAATGCTGTGGTTTGGGTTAACCAGAAATGTAAGATGGGACAGTTATGAAAGATCTGCTAAAATCTGGTGATATAACATGCATTGTTTTGGTGCTTTGTGACAGAAGGTCCAGTTCACCAAATCTGCTTGGCAAAAGGCTCCAGTCCTCACACGTGTAGAAGAATTTTTTTTTTTTTTCAAATTTTCTGAATTCTGTGTGTGTGTGTGTGTGTGTGTGTGTGTGTGTGTGTGTGTACAGATGTAACAAAGTCACCCACAGTTACCCATATAGAGTTGATAATACTGTCAAAGGCCAATGACACATTTTTTTAATGTAAGTATATATGTAAATAAACTTTTTTGTTAGGTAAATTAAATAAGCAGGCACATCCCCTCTTCCTAATATTAAAAAATGGCTTATGTAAACTACCTGTTACCACTGTCATGGTCAAGGTCAAACAGGGCAATGAAAAGAACTACTTCACTTATTTTTGCCTGAATCCCTGCAAAGGGTGTTTGCATCTAAGGTAGCATCTGAACAGTAGCGGTCCTGATCCATTTAAATCAGAGGGGACAGACTGAGACACTAACTCTAAAAACTGACTTTAATTTTAACAGCAGTTAGGTTCAGAAGCACTGGAATAAATAATCTTTTAGAAATCAACATCAAAAACAACTCATGCAAATATCATTCGCACACGACTTACTCATATATTTTCTTACAATACAAAAATAAAGAGAATTACAAAATTTATACTCTGATACAGTACAGATCCATTATTTATACCACTTATTCTGTACAGAGTCACGGGCGGCTGGAGCCAATGCCAGTCAGCAATGGGCAAGAGCCGGGGTCCACCCTGGACAGGTTGCCAGTTTGTCACAGTGCTGGCACAAAGAGACAGACAACCACTCTCACTCACATTTGCATCTAAGGGCAATTTACAGTGACCAATCAACCTAAGCTGTATGTCTCAACTGTAAGAGGAAGCCAGAGTATGTGGAGAAAACCCAGGTAGGCACAGGGAGAACATGCAAACTTCACACAGAAAGTCCCTGGTCAGCCGCAAGGTTCAAACCCAGATCCTTTTTGCTGTGAGGCAACCACTGCACCACTGTGCCACCCACAGTACAAATCAGTAGTGAATATAAAACACTGTAACTAAAACATACTGTACACATCAAAAATTACTGTTGCCTTTATCAAATACATGACTGACACACTCTTGTCTTAGTCAACAAGGCCCGCAGTATACTTTAAGCTTTAGTACAACTTAACAACACACGAATGAAGAAATTCTCACAGGAAAATAGGAGTAGACCTGCACATGCTTATTCACAAATCACTCACTCAACAGGTGACTGAATGACCAATAAACACAGCACAGGAGTAATTCTACATGAGGCAGAGCCCTTTAGTTATGTCCCTGTGTGCACATAGGCAGTGCACAATACAGCAGCTGTGTCCAGACAAAGCACCTTCAGTACATTATATGACCTGCTTCTTAAAAAGGTGTTAACACACACAGCCTAAAACCTCAGCACTTAAAAATATATTCAGTATATGGAGGAGGGAAAGTCTAACTTAACCATATAATAAGGAAGCTACTGTCCTGGTCAACAGCTCTGGAGCCCCTCAGCAGTGTAGTCTGTTTAACATCATATGTTACGTTTCAGAATAAAGGCAATGCATATGAGGATCAAAGTAATGAATCAAAAACTACTTTTACCAGGAGCATGTGTTTGGATAGAGAGGGACAAATCAATGTGGAAACACAGTCATTGCAGCGAGGTGTCTTAGTGATCCATAAATGTCCTCTCCTGCTCTTCACCCCAAGCCAGTTTGGTTTTATTTGCACTGGTGAGACAAAGGGACTGTTTTTTACACACAAACACAGCATTACCAGCCTACCAGGGCCAAAACCATCCTTAACTCTCAACCGGTTTTTTTGTCATGTCTTGTCCCAAGTTGGTTCCTTTCAACTCCCAGAGAGAACTTTCCTGGATTTATGGTGAGATTTGACAGCTTGATCTTTTGCAAGATGTCCTCCATGTGAATGAGGGCTGCTGCCACGAGTGTCTGAAGATGATAGCATCACCCAGGTTGCTGTAATTGATACCATGACATGCTGTGTACAGAGAAAATCTTGTTTGTCCAGATTGGAGAAACCTGGTGTGGTGGTATGATGGTGGTTAAAACAAACACGCTACAGTTAATATGCAATATGTAACAGAATACAGTGAGTGTGTAGATTACATTTAGTTACTATATGCAGTAGTCAACTAATTTCTGCAAGCCCTCTATACTATGACAGCTCACTGTGTAAATAGTTTGTGTGTGTTGAAGCAAGAACATTTTGGGTTCATGGCCTGTTTGTTTAACCCATTGGGTCATCCTGATCTGAAGATGACCTGTTAACTAGGTTTGGGAATTGGTGGGGGAGCCAAAAGTGAGCAGTGTGCAAAAAGAGGCAGTATGCTGCTGCAGTAGAGTAGTGTAGTGTGTGTGAGTGTGGAAGAAGGACGTTTGAGTGAGACCCTGGCCCGGGGGACGTGACGGACTTGACTGTGCTTATGACCTAAAAGAGACTGATTGACTCTGTAACAATCTTCTTGTCTAATACTGCATTTATTTCCTGCAGGAATGGTCACTCTGTCCCATATTTTTCAGACTGCTGATTGTCTTTCAAAATTGTTGAACTGTTTAGTATTATTGTAATATTAAATGATCATTGGCATTTTAGTAATTCGTCTGTGAATTAATTTAGCTCACATCAGGTCCTAGCCACCATAAGGCCTAACTAGTTAGGTATTAGGGTGAAGGTGAAGGGAAACAGGCTTCACCTCTCCCAGAATCTATGCTTGAACTTTAGAATCAGCCATTGAGGAGGTTTCTTCCCCCAGTTTGTGGGAAGGACTGGATGAATTAGCTGCCTTGTTTTGCAGACCAGAAACTGATGCACATGCTTTTCACGAGTTCAAACTCAATATAAATAATAAATGGAAATCTTGGATTACAGTAGCCTACTACATGCATTCAGTTTCAGGTCTGTGTGTCTGTTTGAGGGCAGGGCTACACACACACAGTGTGCACAGCAGAACGGACAGTCATTCATTTACCACAGGGTTGTACAGAGGTGTGGTTGTTTACTCCTGCTTTAGAACATAACCACATTGAAACAATCACAAAACAACATTTTAATTCACTGACACTGCTCTCTCTCCTCATTAACCCTCTAGCTCTCCCTCTCACCCCAACCCCCAATCCCCCATTCCACCTTGTCCCATTTATACAAAAGTATGGTGAACTCCTCTCAGCATAAATATTGCTTCTTGTTGTGGCATTTTGGAGGGTCTACATTGACCCCTATACCACGATTGTACCTTTTAAATGGCGAGGTGGAAAATCCCTGCCCTGAATGGGCCAAAAACCAAAAGTACCACACCACCATGTCCCACACACAAACTCGAGAGTCCAATACCTAAGGAGGGGAACTGGAAAAATGGGAACAATACAGAAAGCCCACAGGTCAAATTCACTTGGTGCCAAAAAAACAAAAAAACAGGACGTTGCCACCTAGGAGGAGACCCACAAGAAACACACAGGGCAGCCTAACCAGAGTCTCAGGCTCCGGCCCAAAATAATGAGAGAGCCAAGCAGGAGAATGGAGAGGCTGCTTGCGAGGACAGCCTCAATGCAAGGCGGATGACCAGCAAGGCTTCTCGGTAGAATGGCCTCTCCTGGACAGAAAACACCACAGCAATAGTCAAAAAGTCCCAGCAGAAACTATTCTTTTTAATAAGGATGCTCTGCGAAACCAACCTGGAGAATGTGCTGGAGACATTATACTGCTCCACCATTTAGAGTGTTTTGACATACTGCATCACTGTGTGGTATGCCAGCTGCTCTGCTGCAGACAAGAAGGTACTTCAGGGGATTATAAGAACTGCTGAGAAAATCATCAGATGCCCTTTGCCTTTTCTGGTGAATATTGCCAGCTCAAGCTATCTCAGCAAAGCTAGGAACATCCTAAAGGACACCCTGGACATGAACTGTTTGCCCCCTGCCCTCTTGGAGGAGATACAGGAGCTTGAAAAGCAGGACTAATAGACTTACAAACAGCTTTTATCCTTGGGCTATCCAAACTATGAATGCTATTAATTACAACTGTGTATAATGATTTGATACATTCACTCAGTATTTTAATATACTGTATATATAATTAGAAATAATTTATTGCTTTTTATGTTTGTGTGAATGCGGTTATTGTAGCCGTGAGAATGGATATTTTATATTTTCTTGTTTTTATATTGCACTGATCAGATGTGGCACATCTAATGTCATTGTATTCATGTACAATGACAATAAAGTTTCAACCAGGTAGGTGCTCGAGGAGGCTGCTGCGGAGGACAGCCCTGGGCTGCAGAGAGGGCCATTCAGGAGGACAGCCACAGGACCAGTCAGAAGGCTGCTCCGGAGGGTGGCCGTGGCTCTGAAAAGGCTGTTGTCTGGGGTCAGGCTGAGACAGGGGCTGCAGTGGCAGGCTGAAGGGCAGGACTGATGGCGAGCTGAGTCGCAGAGCCAATGAGAAGCTGACTGGCAGGGCAGAAGCTGGGGCCGAGGTGACGTCAGCCCACTCAGGAACTAGGAGCATGGTGCAGTCGTCAACACACTTGGGAGCAGGGTGGCGTCATCGACCCACACGGGTACGGGAGCAGAGGTGGCTTTGGGGTGCCAGCCAACTCGTCCGGAGACAGGAACAGACATGATGTCAACATGCCAGTCAACCCGTTCAGGAACTGAGGCGGCGTTGGCATGCCGGCTGACCCACTCGGACACAGAAACAGAGGCTTTGGCAGGTGCATTCTCGTCAGCAGTGCTGTCATCAAAACACCTGTCAGCGCCTTGATAAAATGGGGCCTCATCGGGGACACCATCATCAGCACACCGGAGAACCACCAACTCAGTGGGGACGTCCACTCTGCCTAACCAGGAAACAAGGATGAGAGTGGACTGGGAGGCGGCGTTGGCAGTCTGGCCAACCTGCTCAGGAACAGGCTTGTGAACCCTGGCTTTTTCATTGGCACACAAGTGGAGAGCTAAACTCACGGCGGTGATGAGCTTGTTGGCACACTGGAGAGGAGCTGCGCCCATGGGGAGATCATCCTCTGACACTGATAGGGCTAGTCACTGTCTCCATCTTTGTCCTCTGCCCCGGGAGACAGAGCACGACTTGGAAACAAGCAGAGGCTGCAGCTCGGAGACAGGCCAGGGCTGAGGCTGCAACTTGGAGATAGGCCAGGGTTGAGGCTGCAGGTCGGGGCTAGGATGAAAGCTGCAGCTCAGAGGCAGGCCGGGGCTGGGACGGAGGCTGCAGCAACAAAAGCTGGGGCTGGGATGGAGGCTTCAGCAATGGATCTGGTGGAGGCTGAGGCTAGTGGACAGGCTGGAGCAGAGGAACTGGGTTGAGCTGGCATCAATCCTTCCTTATGCTCATCTCTCTCCCTGGACCCCCACGACAGAGGGCCAACTGAGTTTCTTTAATGGGTGAAAATTCAAGCCCGATTGCATCCGGAACAAAGAGAGACCAAAGACAGGGAGAGGGCACCTAGTCGGATGGAGCACTGTTGTAGGAGCCCAGGTGGACTGGATCCTCGCCGCTGGTCTGGGGGCTGTCTGGGAACAGAGAAATGCATGGCATAAGAGCTCTCTCATTCTTTGAAAGGTGCCATAGAACTCCTCCCCTAGGCACCTATAGTCCGGCAGTCCCCTCAGCCAAGCACAGTCCACTAATAGTTGGACCCCTGTCTCCAGTAGAATGCTGGACTCCGCTAGGGATGTGACCTGATGTTGTTGGCAGAGGAACTGGGAG